AACGCCACAAGGAACCCAAGAAGGGCTCCCACAGGACATACATTAACATCCCACAGCAGTCCTGGCAATTTGATTTTCTTGTCCTTTTACAAAATATTGACATATATTTTATGTGTCTGAGTGTTTTGCCTGCACATGTGTCTGTGAACTGAATGTGAGCAGTGTCTACAGAGGCCAGAGGAAGGGTCTGATCCTTCAAACTGGGGTCATAGGCAGTTGTGAGCTGCCACATGGGTGCTGGAACCAAGCCTGGGTCCTATAAAAGCTCAGCAAGTGCGTCTGACCCCAGATCCATCTCTCCAGCTCTGATTATTTTTTTCCATGATCATATAATGTGGCTCAGGATGTCTTCCAACTCAACATTATGTCCAGATTGAAAGCTTACTGCCTCACCTTCCAAGTGTTAGGATGACATACATGCCACACTTGCTTCTGGAACTTATTTTTTCTAAACATGGTTCTCATAGTAACCATGGCTGTCCTGGAACTCACTCTATAGACTAGGTTGGCTTTGATCTCAGATAGCCACTTGCCTCTGCCTCCAGAGTGCTGGGATTAAAGTCTTGTGACATTGTCCCCTGGTAACCTTGAGCTTCTTATTCACCTGCCTCAGACCCAGAGAGATGGGGTTACACAGTGCGTGTTCCACTCTACCTGAATTTTCCTGCCTTTTAATGGCGACCAAGTATCCCACTGCAGACTGAATCCTGGTCATTTACCTACTCCTCAACTGATGAACAGTTTGTTGTGTCAAATGCTGACATTACACTGATAATCTGACCATTATCCTTGTCTATGAGCTGTGCATGGCCATACAACAGATTCCTTCTAATTCTTCCAGTGTAAAACAATCAGCATGTGTTGGCTGCTTCTCTGACTGAAGGTCTGAGCTAGAACAGTGATGAATCCCACTGCTGGCTAAGGCTAGGGTTTTACCCAGGCTTGAGTAGGGGTGGGGCAGCTTTCAATCTCAAGAGATGCTTGGATTGTTGGGTTATTGAACTAAGAGGTCAGTTTGTCCCTGGCTGCTGACTGGAGAGTGTTCTCAGCTCCTCAACACAGGGACCACAGGGCAGTTAACAGTGTGGTGGCTGTCTGTCCTGACGGTGAGAAATGAGAAAGAAGAAAGGTAAAAGACAATGTCTATAGACCTTAGTCCTGGGGACTCAGCCCCGCTGGTACAGTGGAGTACATTTATAATCCTACCACTGGGGAAGCTGAGGCTACAGGGTTGCCACAGAGTCAGAGACTAGCCTGGGTTACAGGGCAAACCTCTGTTTCAAATAGATAGACAGCTTTCTGCCCTGGTCTGGTGACCTTAGTTTGGTTGTCTAAACCTACAAGATGGAAGGAGAAAAACCAACTCCCTAAAAGTGTCCTGTGACCTCCTCATGTGTAACATGACATTTACGAGTGCTCCCAGGTGGGTACTCCAATGCTTGCTTTCAACCTGTGTGCAGGCAAACGCGCGCGCGCGCACACACACACACACACACACACACACACACACACACACGCACACACGCACACACTCACACCTCTATTCACTGCTCTCTCCATGCAGCAGATGGTAGGAGTCCAGGAGGAAGCTAGCAGGCAGGCATCAGACCCCTGGTAAGGCCAAGTGGGATTGATGGAGTTGCTGTGCTTTCTTGTGTCAGGTGCTACTGCACCCAGCATCAGCCCTCGGGCTGTGTGGCAGTTCCGCAATGCGTTCAAGTGCACCTTTACTCGGACTGATGCCTTTACAGATTACAACGACTATGGCTGCTACTGTGGCTTGTTTAGTTGGAACAACCTAGTGGAAGACATAGACAGGTGAGTGATCCATCTGGTGGGAGACTGGAGGGTTTGGGTTGGGGTGCGGACAGGACACAAGCAGAGCATCTCACGAGGCATCAATAGGAGACATGCATATTCACCAAGCATCATATGTTTTGTTTTATGTATTATGATTTATTTTTGTTTGTTTGCTTCCATAAAGAGGTTCTCTGTGTATCCCTAGTTGTTCTTCAACCCTCTCTAGAGACCATTCTGACCCTGAACTCAGAGACCTTCCAGCCTCTGCCTCCTGAGTGCTGAGATTAAAGGTGGGCATCCCCACCCACAGCATGTATTTCCCCCTCTTGCTATGCAAAGAAATCAGTCCACGAGGACCCTGTATCTAGTGGGCCCTTAAAGCAGAATGTGTGAGACGTAAATAATGGGCCCTGCTGCCATCTAGTGCCAGACTAGGGCATGGCCAACCATCACAGCTCCCATCAGAGTGTCAGCCTTCGCTTTAAAAAGTCATCGAAACTTCAGAATATATACTTTCGGTATACTTCTGCAGCTTTGTTTAAAAAAATTCTTTTTTGTGACAGGGTTTCACTTTAGTATCCTGGTTGATCTCAAACTCAGAGATCCACCTGCCTCTGCTTCCCCAGTACTGGGTTTAAAGGCGGACACCACCACACTCCACAGAAGTTACTTTCAATAAATATGTACTAATAGAAATCACAAATTCTCAAGCCTCAGGACCATTTCGTCTGGAATACCATGTTTAAGTCATCCTGACATGTTTGAGAAAGAATGCAGCAGCCGGGTGGTGGTGGCGCACGCCTTTAATCCCAGCACTTGGGAGGCAGAG